GCCTGAAACGGCCGGGTACGAAGGTTTCAAATTAGTGTTGTTGGCGAAGGCTTTTTCTCCGTTGGTAAGTTCTCGGATCCCAGAAACCATTCCGTCTGGTTCCAATTTCTCCCAGAAGATCACTTCGCTCCGATACCATGGTTATCCTTTGTGGAAGACGACGTTTAATGATCACCGTAGTTTGGAAATGACTCGCTTAATGACATCGTTTGGCGTTCCATGGAAATCATGATATATTTGACTGACATTTTCTTGCCCACAAAGCAGACATTAAATGCACACGTTTCTACTTCGATCATCGAGTTTCAACCTCAGATAAGTCGTTCAAGACCATCAAGATGAACCTGACCCATCACGGCTACGATTACGTGGTCGCGAACAGCGGCAGGGCCGTTTACGACTTCGAGAGCCTGAAGGACATCGTGAGGTTGATCTAGGACCTGTACACGAACAGGATCACGTTCAAAACGCGAACACATGGTTGGACATGTAGCTCAACACGGCCATCAAGATTGACGCGTACATGAACATGTGCTACAACGTGAACAAGAAGTGCGTCATGTGCGCGAAGGAGATGGAGATCGAGCTCAGCTCTGCGCCGACGGGCTGCGCGGGAACATCTGCGTGATCACGCCCATGCAGGTGTCCTGCTTCACCATCAAGGTCTCGAACCCGAGGGGCGACTCCCGCACGTACGTCAACGTGAAGCCGTTCATCGCCACGACCACGAGGAAGTACATGTGCGAGCACTGCCAGACTCACGAGCCAACGGCCACAGACGAGCACGAGAACGGGGTTCAGGGGCGTGGTCGCCGCCCTGAAGACGTACCCGACCATGTTCGACTCCAGGTAGGTCCAGGCGATGTCGTCCACGTGCACGAAGAAGAACGAATAGATGAACATGACGGAACACATGGTCCGAGGCTGACGAAAACCAGGAAGGCGCTTGAGCAGCCGACCACGGCATCGACCCCAACGTCAACTTCGATGAGCGATTATGAACCACTCGGGGGCTTCGTTGCCATGGTCCTCGGGACCAAGTTGTTCCCCGAGATCGCGGAGCACCATGAACGAGCTCACGGCCTCGGAGTTGGGCTACATCCTGGACTTGCTCCAGATCAGGGAGTACTTCACTTACGACGACAAGTACCCGAACCCGACCAGGGACGTGGACCCCGGCATGTCGATGTCCAACCAGCTGACGAGAGACGGGTTCTCGATCGTCATGATCGGTCCGGACTTGAACGCGCTCTGACCAGGATCAAGCACTCGAAGAAGTACTGGGACACGTTGGAGTCCATACACAGGAAGGCCGACGTCCTCGCATGCGCGAACAAGTTGAGCGTCTGGATCGCATGCATACACGAGGACGCGGAAGAGAGTATGGAGAGGGCGATGAAGGTCGCATCGAGGAGGACGACGATTTGATCGAGGAGATGTTGGCGGGGAGGCCCGTGCGGACGATCTACGACAGGCGCCTGCACGTATTTGACAACGAGGTCGTGATCCGGCCCGAGAGGTTCCTCATGCCGATGTCCTGGGGCACGACCGCCAAGCTGTATGTGACCGAGAACACGTATGTCCTCAGCGACCCCGACACGATCGTCCCCATGGACTCCCGCATGATTCCGGGCTTGCGCATGAGCATGTACCAGCCATCGTTCGCCGCCGTGTCGAGGTACGACTCAATCCAGATCGGGGACCCGCTCGTGAACATGGACTAGATCTTGCCCATGTTCAGGAACGCGCGATACGAGACGACCGACATCGCGTACATCGACGTGATCAAGGATCCGCTGCACGTCCATCGTCTTGGTCAGAAGAAGTATCCGAACGAGGGTGACCGGACGCCGATCGGCATGTTCGAGGCCGCGCCCGCGTCCGTCTTGAGGCTCACCTACTCGGTCGAGCCCGACTTCGCGGCCATGAGGAAGCTCATGAGGGAGACGAGCGGCATCACCAGCTCCACCGTCGAGTAGATGCTGGGGGACAGACCCATCCACGTTGGCTCGATCACGGACGTGACTGTGGTCGCGTCGATGAACCCGTTCGGCCTGATGGACGAGCCCAAGTACGTCTTTGTGTACATTGACGTGCCTCTGCTTTGGTCCTGATCACGAACCTGGACGTCCGCATCAGCACGATCGCGTTCGAAAACGGGAACAGGTCCTGGAATAAGTAGCTCAATGAGACCGCCTACATCTGCATGAACATGTACATCGACCCGGAGTTCAAGAAGAAGGAAATCACGCGCACGATCTGCATCTGGTTTGAGAATGTGAACACACGCTCGGACCTAGACCTCAAGAGGATGAACGACATGAACATAAGCCTGAACGAGATGATGGTCAACGTCGACACCACAATCACGGCCTGCACCTCCTGCGCGAGCGAGCTCAGACTCAGCCTCATGTCCACGGACGAGATCATGAAGATAGAGATGGGGTTGTACAAGCTCATGGTCGAGAGGACCCTCGCGATTTCTAGCTCGATCTGGTGCATAAATGAGAATTTGTACACAACCATGTGGAGGTTCAACCTCGCGTACATGCAGAAGCCCGAGAAGATATTCATGGCCAAGAGCACGAACAAGACCATGAGCCTACGCATCTGCACGGATGAGAACAACACCACAGTCTGACCCCGAGCGTGATCGAGTACGGGAACAAGGTCATGAACAGGCTCGCGCTCATGAGCCCACCACCCACTCCTACTCGTAGATGAGACGAACATGAACGCGATCATGGACACGACTAACACGCGACCGCGAACTCGGACATGTTTTTCTGCGTGTGCGAGTTCGTCTATATGTCCAGAGTCAGGGCCATGTCCTTGTACTTGTCCTCCTCCGGCTTGATCCGTGTGTACATGTCGTCGAAGAATGAGTTGGGCTTGTACCTGTGCATGTACACCTTTGAGCCTATGCTGATGCTCACGATCCTCTCGTCCCTCCAGAACTTGGGCGCGTTCGTGTACACGTTCTCAATGAGGTACGCGTCTACCTCCTTGGACTTATTCAAGCGCATGAACCCGTCGTAGCCGAGAACGTTGTTCGCGATCATGCTAGCGGAGAGGGCCGAGCTGGGGAATTGTGTACATGTTCGGCTTGCTGTCGGACTCGAACTTCCGGTACACGGGACGCAGTACACGACCCTGAACTTGGTCTCGGGCCTCAGTGGGATGTTGCTACCGTCCGCGAAGTCGATCAGGCCCTTTTCCGAGATCAAGCCCATCTTCGCGCAGAGGAGGCGGCATAAGATCCCGTCCTCGCTCTCATTCCCGTTCGTCGTCATGTCGAGGTTGCTGTTCATGATGATAACTCGGCTGAAGCTACGTTGTCAGCTAGCTCTTCGGCTTTTGAACGCATGTGTGTGGACGGACCTGAACCCGGGTATCTACATCTCCGAGATTGGCGCGGGTACGAGTAGCCCTCGCGACGAAGCTCATGTGCATGCTCGCGAAGATGACCTTGAGCCTCCTCTTGTTCATGTCCATGTACTCGATCTTGAAGATCAGCCTGCCCAAGCACGCGATCGAGCTCCCGTCCCCGAGGGCGATCAGATCCGTGATGGTACTTGTGGTCTCGACGGTGCTTCCTACCGCGTACGTGGCCGTGCACCTGTGGATGCCGGGCTGCCAGATCGCGTCCACCCAGACGTACATGTCGGTGGTCATGATCTCGCTCGCGCCGATACCCATGTAGTCGATGATGTCCCTGATGATGGTTCCGAACGCGAGCACGGACAAGCCGAGCTTGATGTACATGCTACTCCCCGACCTCGTGGCCATCTCCTCGTTCAGGCGCATGCGCGGGATCTCGTCCGGGTCCATGTCGTTGATCAGGACCAGGTCACAGTTCAACATGGAGCTCATTTGCCTGGTCGCCTTATCGACGATGTACACGGTCATAATGCTGTTCTCGGAGCCGTCTCTCAAGCGCCTCACCGTCGGGGTCGTGAACGACATTCCGAAGACGTGCGTGTGCATCTGCATGCTTCCGCGGATGTGTCCGTCCTCGCCCTCCTTCGTGTGCAAGGTCCACATCTCGGACCTGACCTCCTGCTTCGGCTCGATCACGCCCATGTAGCTCAACCTGTTCCTCCTCTGCTCCCTGATCATGGCGATGTCCGTGGAGGTCCACTCGATGCTCCTCGAGTCCGTGCCGATGGACGCGACCCTGAGCTTGTTGGCGTCATTGTTCAGATAGATAATCGAGACGGACGAAGTTCAAGATGAGGTACTAGTTCAGCCCGCTCTGCGTTATCGAATTCGGACCGTGTACTCGTTCGCGCGGATCAACGTAGACATCTACATCTACTATCGGGCGAGCACTCATCAAACGAACACACACACGTATCCAAAAATTCATCTCCACGAATAGGACTCTGGAGTCGGAGCATCGACAAGAAAGCAGAGCTAGAAGCAGAGCATGATCGCTCGAGGTCCAAATCCAAGGCAGCGCTGACGCGCAATGAGGCGATCGAGTGTTCAGTGCCACTGGTACCCGTCTTAATGCGTATAGCTGGAAGGAATAGCAGCTACTTACCTATCGGATGTCCAGATCGTGACTCAGTTCAGCATCGATGTGTCTATTGAAAGCTTAAGGTAAGGATAGACGCCGTTCAAACTACTAAGGATACGACATGGCCAATCGGATAACTCATGAGCATTACCAGTCAGAGCTAGCACGACGGATGAATGTCGATAGGGGAACGGACCATCAGCCGTGAATAGTAATTCTGGAAGTTAATTGTATACTCTCTCCAAGACGCATTGCACGGTGGCCGATTCCAACCAATCTCCGATTTACTGCTGTGGAAATGTCTAGACTATATACAAAGTGTCTCACATTCTTATATTCACTTCCGCTTGATTATTGTTGGCAGTCATAATTTGTATTCACTCCATCATAAGATTGAACCGGCTCAGGTCTTGGACGGGCCCAACATATTCACTTAATCCAATATACCCAGTATCACGTCGTTCCGGTTCCCTGTTGCTTTTACTTCCTTCTTTGGCTACTTCAGACGTTCTAGAGAGAAAGAATACACTATGCATTCGATTTATCTTCCTTCGTCTATTCCATCTATCTGCATCGGGGCCATACGGTTGCTGGATCTACGAAGCTTCCAGTCGATTTTGTGCCTGTGGTAATGCTAGTGTTTCCATTGAATATATAAGAACTCGCATGCATATCCGGGAACATTTAATCACGGCTCTCCTGCCGTTACTCGTCAACTCTCTGGATAACTATGTGCAGGGCCTGGAGACACTCAGGAGCTTCAGAGCAAAGAGAAACATAAGAGAGCTAGGAGCTATCTCACCAATTTGACAGCATAGGAGGCTATCTATTCGAATACGCTGGGTCCGGTGCGCAGGTAAGTATCCCAGTCATGAAATGATGAAAGGAGCTCACAACTGACTATCACTGAAGCCTTCGCTCAGGCCCAGGAAATCTTCAAGTCAGCCTCCGAGACGCAAAAACAGTTCATGATGCTGCGCATTTACGCGCTTAAAGCTCTGGACAAGAAATAAGCCATTAGTCACTTTAATGGAGGAAAGGTATGTGGATCTCTGGGTTCGAATGACCGCATGAGCTGATGCCGTTCAGCGCCGAGTAGTGCGATATGTGGACGACTACAGATGTGTCTATGGGACTACACCATGGCATTGCGAGGCTTAGGTCTGCGGAAGTCAATGCCCCCCTGGGTCTGGGCTTCAAGCCCCCTTTCAAAATGCGAGTCAGAAGTTCGAGGAGAAGGCAATCGACTACTCCCATACGCAGGTCCAATTCGGAGGACTGGGGTAGAACGCCCTGGAGGTGACAATTCATTACCACAGCCTTTGTGGAAGACCTTAAAGCTTAACTTAAGCTTGTACTGCTCTGGGTACCTAAGGCTAAACAGCAACGGCAACCATGACGCTGACAGTGGATGATATCAGCCAGCGGCATACACAAATTTGCGGATACCCGGGAAAATGCTTCAACTTGGCACCATCCCCATGCCCCATATTCTGGCTGTGATGCAAGAATATGTCTATGGTGTCAAGAAGAGCAGGGCCAAGGCAATCAAACCAAGAGAAGGGTGCCAATGGCACAAGAAAACGCCTGATATTTATTAAATCATGGCAAGATAACCGAGGCCTTACGCAAGACTAATATACCAGGGTATATCTTTACGATAACCCATTTAAGGAGCACATTCAGGGGCCAGAGCAAGGGCATTGCGCCCGGTTTCCAACGATCGCACAGCTATTTTTGCTCTTGCAAGCCCCTGATAGGGTATGTTTTCGAAATGATAACGAAGCTTACGATCCCTCGGAAAGGGCCGATTTGCTATGAAGCAATTGGAATCCGCCGCTCCCAGGCATAGGCTCCATTCGACTTTTGCTTTCGCCATGAGCGGAGATGCCTGCCTTCCGTTGCCTATTTTTCTGTCGTTTTCTCATCAAGAGAAATGACTACTCCGATTTGCCACTAGCAACTCTAGTCTGGTCAGAGTTCATCAGGCATTTTTGGTGCCACTCGCTCCGCCTCTGGGCTATAATGAGGCCACGAGCCAATATGTTTTTAACCAACCTCCCCTCTGAATTGATCATTGTCATTGCCGACTTCCTCGGACCCAAAGGCCTCTATGTTCTAGTCCAAACCACCAGCTCCTTCACAAACCTGCTGGGCCTTCATCTCCTAAACCGTGGCCTGGCTGATCCCAAGCTGGAGACACTCCGTTGGGCTGCTGCCAAAGGAGACGAGGAGATAATCAGGAAGTTACTTGCACGCGCACGGTACTGGTCAACATCGGGCTGTATGACAGGTCTACACCCATGATGTCCATGTTTACAGGCTTCGGACAGCGGCACTAGTGAGTCATCTTCTGTGAGTATTTCTGATTAAGGTATCTGCTTCGTGTCATCGTGCTGTTGTTGCTAACATGTAATAACTGGTTTTAGCACCCTTGCCGAAGCATTAGATAAACGACTACAGGGCAAGCATCTGGGTTTGACACCAGTCCATGTCTAATGACAGGTGGAACGGTAACCTGTTCAATACCGCCGATGTACAGCTGGCAGAGCTGGCCATTATCCAAGAAAATACTTTATCCCGGCATCAGCGACAAGGAAGCGCCAAAGAGGAAACTGATATACTCATTTTGAAGAGAATTATCTTGTTACTGATGGGAGGAAAACATACCGCTCTGTCCTTTGGTGTTTGCATTGGACTTGAAAATGTCGTCAGACGATCACTGGCTACGAAGCCGGGCGATATCAACACAAAAATCCACTCATCATATTGGTCTACAATGAACCGTTCCACACTCTCACTTACTACACACTAGGACATGAACAAACACATTGGCTACGGGATTTAGCTACTTTGACATCGCCTCATACTTACTTACGCATGGGGCTAAAGTTCCAGACGATCAAGGTTCTACATTTCCTGCGCCCACCGAGCATACATCAAAGGCCTTACGTTAGCCTTGGATAAGGTTATTTCAATAGACAGCGAAAATTCGGAGGGCTATACTTATCTTCAGCATCATAAACCCACACATGCATTGATACAATACAGAATCCAAGTATCACACCGCTCTTGCCTTTGGTGCTTGCCATGAAGTTGAAAAAGTCGTTAGATGATCACTGACTGAGAAGCCAGGCGACATCAACGCAAAAATTGGCCCAGTTATACCAACCAGTGACGAACAGCTCCACACGCCTCTCTATTACGCGCTGGAAAGCGAACAAACACGAGTGATCGAGCTTCTACTCAGTGGACTCTGGCCCATGCTTGCGTGGTTCACACCGCAAGTTATTTTATTAGTTAGTGGCTATCAGTAACTGCGGGCCCTTATATTTAGCTGTCCCAAAAAAAAAATCAATCTCAGAGTTAGCTGCAATATCCCTTTTACCAAGGCTGAAGCTGAATAGCCTCATATACCTGATATTCACTGAACAGCACTGCATAGTCAACTAACTTTACAATATGGTCAGCAGAATATTCTATAACCCGTAGCTTTCCACCCCCGAATGCCTTGACGGCAGTGTTAGACATTGGCAACTCAATGAACATGGCCATAATCAACTACTGACGTAGGGGCAGCCGCTGGCTGATCTGGGATGGTTGGATTCCCTGGCTAGGAAGCCTACTGTGTGGTGAGATAGGGGCAACTTGGCAAGCTTGCTAGCTACGGGCTGACTAAACTACTGTATGGCCAGGTGACCATACAACTACCATTCTGGAGCTTCACCGCGTTGGAAACCGACTCTATCCAGACCCGTTCTCGTCAAGGCCTGTTTTTATTATGGCTGTAAGTAACGTTATGGGATCTTCTTAATCACTGCTTAATGAAGGTAATATAGCGTTGCAATACTTGTGCTGTGAGCAGCTGTGTCAGCGGCAGGGAGTGCTCAATATTCAATAATCTTTGCTACACTTGCCCCAGTTATCAACAGTATAAGCAGCTTCGAGTGAGAGCAGATCATCGAAGATATGATATGTAAGTAATGTGAAGGTGACAGTGTTCATCGAGTGAAGCTCATCGAAGCTCCAGCCCAACTACAGAAGCTTCCTGACTGACTTCCGCGGCAGAATCCCCAGGCTCCGTCAACACTGATTCACACCTCCTCAAAGCGAAAGCGCCAGCTGGAGCATTACATTCCACCTCAATCTCATTTCCTTCATCAACCTTGACTACAGCACTTGCAGGCCAATTCTGGGGCTTTAACCATCTCAATTACTACTTAATGATGGCGGACTGTTTCCCCTCACTAGAGGACTTTTCTGCGGGTTGGTTGCCCGCAACAATCCAACTAGTACCTGGTTGACGAGGCTAATCTGGATACACCCAGGCCAAGTGTTGTTAGGATCGCCAGGGTGCTCTGAAGTCTTCAGGTTCTCTCTGTTTACCATCTACCATTCGCAGAGATCCACGAGTGGATTCGAATTCGTACCCTTCAAACTCATGCCATATACTCCAGCCGTCGATAAGGGTGAGAGAACTCTTCTTGAATACACTGCTCCAAGCCTCAACATCATTAGGAAGGAACACCCTGCGACTGCTGGTAAAGAGTTTCTCTCCTATATGGAGGAAAAAGTCGATGAATTTGGTGCGTTTATA